ATTATTATATAGTATAGATTAATTATTGTTAAAGAATGATGATTTTGTTATTTTTAAAAATATACTATATAATTTTGAAAGTTAACATCAAAAATATATAAATAATTAACTTATACTATTACAATATTAAATTATATAAGTTTAATTTAAACATGTATTTTATCATAACATCTATAAATTCAATGGATCATCTAATTTTTATCAGCCCAATAAAAATTTATAGTAAGCCCAATAAATGTTATTAGTGAATCTAATGAATGTTATTAATGATTGAATAATGTAATGTCATAAATTTTATTAAATGGTCCATTTTAAAATATCACACATGAAGTGAAGTCATGACTTCTCTTTTAATATATAAGATATCGAAATAGGATTCAAGATGTGCATATATGTAAAACAATTAACGAAGACGTATAATTGTTAATTAATTATATATAAAACTCAATTTCGTACATTAGATCGAACTGAAACAAAATTATTATTTTGTAATATGTATAAGAAATCGTAAAAAGCATTTTAGAGCAAATATTTGATGGTCGCAATATCTTTTTTTTTTTTTTTTTGTCACAGGTCGCAATATCTTTTTAAATCCATATTTTGAAGAATCAAAACTAGGGGCGGATCTAAGAGAAGTTTTACTAGGGGCACTAATATAAATCTTGAGTTTGTTGGGGGTACTTTTATTGAAATTGAGCTAGTTTTAAAATAATTACTTAAAGAAAATTAAATTTCAGTCGGGGCCAGTGATCACATTGGTCGTAACGTACATCCGCCACTGATTAAAACCCATGAAAGCTCAATAAAGGTTCAAAAGAACTCAGAGCATATCATATCCCACTTTATAATATACTGTAAAATGAAATGGAAAATAGAACGAAAAAACATTTTCTTGATCTCATTCGTAAGACTTTCAAACCCATCCTACCTCCACCAACCACACAAAAGCAATGCTGCATCAATACTAATTCAAGTGGATCCTGAGGAAAAAACAAGAGCAGAGACACTCAAAAACACTAAGATATGTCTTTCAAAGAAGAGCAGTGGAGACCAAACATCACCGCCCCGTTCACGTGAGCTAATTGACTCTGCCAAAAAAACTTCGACAATTCGAGGAATACAATTCAAGCCAAGGGATAATGCAGATACACATAAGCTTCAAGAGCGGTTTACTTGAAGTACCTTTACTAGCCTTTGATGATTTTATGAGCTCTGCTGTAATCAATTGCGTCGCATTTGAGCAATTCAGTGTGAAATTCTCAAACGAGATTACAAGCTATATGTAGTTTTTATGGGTGGTTGCTTGATAAACACAGCAGAGGATGCGACCTTCTTAGTCGAGAAAGGGATCATAGACAACTATTTCGGGACGGGTGAACAAGTTTCTTTATTCTTCAAGAACATTGGCAAAGACATCTCTCATTCAGAATAGCTAAGAGCTATTTATCAAAGTTGTTTAAAAGCAAGTGAACGAGTACGCTTCCTTCCCTCCAAGTTCCATCCGAAACCCTCCGTCTCTGCATGCTTTGTTGTATAGTACGTACTAGTATTGATCCCGGACATGTTTTTTCGCTTCCCAATAAAACTACATTTCAGTTTTATATAACTAAAATTATATGTATAAAACAAATTTTATTTTTGTAAGAAGAGACTACAGGAAAAAAACCATTAACACACTTATCACTGGATAACCAATGAAATATAATATTAAGTTATATTAGTTTAACAAAAATACATTGATTATATAAAATTGAGTTAGAATAGGTTCAAAAAGCCACTGATCATATAAAATTAAGTTAGATTAGTGTTTCAAAGTAAAGTGATTTTCTGACTACATATCTAATTTGAAGTTTTTCTGTTTTACCTTTTTACGTCTTGTTCTTCCTATGTTTTCCTAATTCTTAATCTATAGTTTATGGCCTTGTCTTTAACCATTCACTATATCAACTACAAACAAAAAACTATTTCAACCAATTTTTTTGTCAGCCAACAGTGCCACCAATTAAAACAGTAAAAATAACATGTAATAACACACCATTTTATGTGGAAGCAAAATCAAAGGACAAAGTTCAATACATAACAATTAAAAAAAAAAGAATTAAAGCATTTTATCTATAAACAGTAGAAAAGACAATAAAAATTATCAAACACTTTAGTTTGAGAATTATGTGATATTTACTACTATATATACATTTTAAATATGCATAACATAAATGATAAGCTCACAAACATGACTAAAACATAAAACGTCAAGTTACTTTCAAATTGTTTGTACAAATGGACACATAAGAGAAAAAAGTGAAGCATAATTATCAGAAAGGTCTTCTTAAGGAAAACAGCCCTGAAGAATTCACAATATGTCTTGCATCTATTGCACATTGTCCAAAAAGTAGATCCAAACTTAGGCTGAGAATCTGACTCAGGCCTATGCTTTAATTTGGCATTGGCTTGTTATATGAAGTTGACTCGTGTGGCTTTTGTGGTTTATTAAACAGAGTGGAATGCAGAAACCACAAAAGCCACACGAGTCAGCTTCATCTAATAAAAGAATGTGGAAGAAGGATTATCGTGCGTAGTGGGTTGTTTTCAGAAGCCGTTGTCTACATTTATTTTGTAACTTTACTTATTTAATTTTTTATTTTGAAAATATAAATTATGTGGTAAATTTTTATTAGTGAGGTGACTTGTAATCTTTTATATACTAAATCACAAATCATTCATCCTAGAAAAAGAAAACATGAATTGTATGACGGTTTCTCGGAACCCACTACAGACGAGGCCACGATCCTTCTTCTTTATCTACAATTGCATACCTATCACTCTTAAATATATTACATAAACAAAATGTAACGCCCCGACCGCCCACAGCTAATGGGCTACTCACGTCCGTTCTCTCGGCCCGTGGGTCCCATCCCGTTCCAACGGCTGGTCCGTTAATTTTCCAAGACTCTAGAGTCATGTTTATTGACCCTGCAATCACCGCATGACATTTCCCCGTGCTTTGGCCTCACTTACACGCTATCGCAAATCACTACCCGATAGGTCACCCATCCTTTAACTACTCCAGCTCAAACACGTTTAACTCTGGAGTTCACCCATATTTTTGATCTAAAGTTTTACTGTTTCAGATATTTAGTACAAAAGTTGGTTTTGGTATTGTTGTAGGGTGAAAGGGATAAGAAGTGTTGAGTATGGAAAAGTTGGTGCTTTCATGGGAACGTTGATTAAACTCCAAGACAGTTAACAGAGGTACATATATATTAGCAGCTACATGTTTTTATTATTGCAGTATTTGCAATACACATTTTCAGATGTTTCGTATCTCAATACACAATGATATTATTTCTTAAAAGTCTTTTGTATCCTCTTGAGTGTCGAAATAAAAGGCACCAAGACAATCAATGTCATCAATGTTTTTATACATTCTCTAAGGTGATGTTTAGAAATATATTTTTTGGATCAAAAAGTAGTTTCGAAATATATAGCTTTAATGGATTGTTAAAACTGAAATTTGAAAAATCAGTGAGCTTCTCTTGTTCTCTTAGTCTGTTCTTAAAACAATGTCTGACTATCCCTATATATAGTTTTCTTACTTTGTTTTCCAGTTAACATGACAACAGAAGTATTTAATCGACATTCATGGGTTTTTTCATGTCTGATTTGAGCATATTATTTATTTCATATAGATTTAAAAGGTTTAGTAGATGAAGATCATATATCTGTTAGATGCTGATTTATTTACTGTTTTCATTTGATTATAAGATAAGTTTTGTTTGTAGATGTAAATACTGAATGAATTACTAGATATTGCAAACCAAAGAAGCATAAAATTGCAGGTCAAAAAGTAGGAAAAATACTGAAAGAAAAGACATAAAGAGGGTAAAAAAGGGTTGTTACAAAAAAAAAAAAGAGGGTAAAAAAAGAAAAGCTTTACACTAATAGTTATATTATTAAATCAGTGTAAAACAAATAACCAAATCTATCTTCATTTTATATAGTATGTTTGTGTTAGTTGATGATAAGTGTGTTATTATTTTTTATGTATACACTTATTCTTTGATAAAGTTGATAATACATGTTATTTTTAGTTATATATAACACATGGAGTTTTGTTTTATTAAGAAGCAAAAAAATATTCCCATGCATAGCATGGGCTGAATACTAGTTTAGTATATAAAGGATTAGTCTGCTTAAATTTTGATAAAATAGTCATTATAAAATTAAATGTATTTTGTTGATTTAAATATTATATATTTTTGCTAAATAACTTTTTTTCTTTTTTTTTTTCTAAATCCGTTTTTTTAAAACGTCTGATTAATTATGATGTTACAGTACTAAGAAATGTTACATAGACGATTCCATAGCCGATAATTATACCACCATATGAGAATACGTGTCTCTCCAAGTCATTCAAAGAGATCCATGTTCGATAATATGCCATGTACCATGATGAAGATCTCTTGTAACCATTTTTTCTATAATCTAAATAATTTGCATTTTCTGAGATTTGAATCCCTAACCTGTGTAGAAGCATAATTTGCTGGGTTTTCATAATCCAATTTTTGTAGAAGTTGAAATGTGCTAATCGCTAATTCGAAACCTTTATTACCTCGAAAATCTTATTGCTCGATAGAGTTTATTAATAATAAATGTCAACCAAAAAGTTCGACGAATACATTCTAATTTTTAGTTTTTTTTTTTGTAAAGAAAAAAAAAAAAAAAAAAAAAAGTTCGACGAATACATTCTAGTTTAGTTTTTGTTAATTTCAGATTATGTGTTAATCTCTTATACGAACAGAAATATAGTAATTACAATATATATTCAAACAACTTATAATCCACATTTTATTTACGAATAAGCCAAATCAATGGCTATTATCGTTCATTCCAAATCACACACCAAAACATTATAAAAGCACACATAGAAATTCAAACACGAAGATCAACGTAAACTCAACTGATCGAACATATGTTTTTTTCCAAGCAGCACAAGTCGTTGTTCAAGCTTGGCAATCGTAACATTTGCAAATATTGCCGTCACATGCGCCTCTGATAAATCCTAGAGTGACACACGTAGTGCTGCAACCATTATGTTGTACAGTCCCTGGGACACCGCAGGACCTTGATGCTGATTCGTTTGGTACTCCCACGCAGTGAGCTTTTCCTTTCGGTATCTTTGATTTTACATCATCTATTGATAAAATAGTTTTATAGAACATATTTTCAAAAAATTTAAACAATTAAATGATTTTGTTGGATTAATATAATATAAATTTGTATTACCTGTGGAGATCAACAGAATTATCACGAAAAGAAAAACGGTGCACATGCTCTTCGCCATGTTGTTTCTTTCTCACTTACTTTGCTCTGATACTTTAAGTTTACTTGTTTTCTTCTTAATATCCACAAACTTACAGGAGAATATGTTCTATTTATACTGAAAAGCCGTTAACTTCTTGTTAGGTTTGATGGATATTGATAATGATGAATATTATTATATATGCTGGCCATCAACTCAATCATTCAAGCCTTCAAGGTGTGTACAGCCATTAGTAGCAGTTCCTATTTTAAAATCATACTAGGTGGTAATCCGCGCTCTAAGCGGAATAAATGGATGAAAAATAATATTTTTTTATCTATAAATAGTTAATACTAATAATAAGAATTATAGTCACAAGAAATATATGTTATATAATGAAAGACGTAACAAAATTACCTGTGTTTATATAAAGTAAGATTCAATTCTTTTTAAGCAAATAATTGATTTCTTAACAAAATTAGTTATTACTTAAAAAAAAAAACATAAGCAAAAAAATTATTGATTTCTTAATATAAATTATAAATATAAAATAAAATAAAACATAGGTAAGAGAATAATAAAATATGAAATGAACAAACTAAAAGAAAACAGTTAATAAAAACTGAAAAAATTATTTCAATGGTCTCTCTCCCAGCAAATAATTATTGTTTCCAAAGTCTTATGACTTTCATCTTAATTTTTCATATAGACTTCTTTGGCTTCAAAATCAGAGAATAAATAGATGACACTCATTTGCTTTGCTAGTTTAAAAAATTTGTCAATTGTGATGATATATAGTCATAATTAATAGAGTTTAGCCCACAAAAATTGAGTCAACCAAATATTTCATCACGATATTAGTGGCAAAAATCTTTCAAATTCCGTGTATAATTTCTTAATTTCTCATGAAAATTGTGTATAATTAATAGTAACTTTCCTATTAACCAAAAACTAATTGCATTATATCGATTGCGTATATTAGTTTCCAATAATTTAGTTTGTTGCATAAATTACAGTCAAATATAAAATATATAAATGAATCAAGTTAATATAGGAAACTAATATTATTGTCTGACGATATTCAAAGATAACATCAAATCCCTCATTTATTTAAATTATAGGGTAGATTCACCATTTATCTATTTGCATCATATAATGGTTGAGGTTGGAAACCAAATTAAATCTAATGAGAGTTCGTATTGATTTCACATTTATCTACTTGTATTATATGACAGTTGAACTCCTCAAGGTTTGTCATAGTTAATTAGATTAGTATATTGATGGTACTGAATACTGATATTTACATATTTTGTGATTTTAATTCAATTAAAATTTTATATTAGTAAAGTTTTGATGTGTATTTCCACTTTAGTTAATATAGATTCTTTGATATGATTTCAGAAATAACTGATATTTCCAAGATTAGTTTAAATTAATTGTTGCGCATGAAATGCTATATTGATTCCTAATTTTAGCTTGTAAGTAATTAAGACTATAGTTAGAGGGTCGTTTATATATGCTATAAATTCGTAATAGAAAATATTCAAATTTATAGCTATGCATATGTATCATTATAATATTTACAGAATTTTTATATGACTATAATTCATATACAAATAATCATGTCATATTTTTATATTCATCCAATTTTGGAACATTTATAATATGTTTATAACAGATCATATTATTTTATAATATAAATATTACTAATATAATGCATTACTTTAAGGTTTAGGGGAGCTCATCCGAATAATATATAAAATAAACAAAAATATTAGTAACTATGAACTGTTTCAAGGAAAAATAAGTCATGGTTGAAACAAATCATGAATATATGTATAATTGTTGCGGAAAATTAAAAACATATCTATATATATATATATGTAAGACGAATTATATATTAGAAGCTATCATACATCTCATGGATCCAGTGCATTTGGTATTGTAATATTTAAATGATAATTTAAATTCTTATATAATAAAATAGACTTCTTTTTTCTCCACAGGGGAAAAAATGGCGTGTGTCACCTTTTTTTAATGATGTTTTTATATTTATTATATTTAACAAATTTTAGTTTACTTAATGAACCAATAAATGCTAATACAAATTTAAACATTAATTAAAACAAAATTTTTATTTCATTATTATTGTTTTAGTTTTCTATTTAAAAAAATTTACAAATAATTTTTATATATTTTTATTTTTTTAACATATGATATATATAAATTAATGTGATTTTTTTTACAATGTACTTATATTTAGTTTATTTTTATTAATGTTATATAACCATTTATATTGTAATGGTGATATATGATTTATTAGTTATAAAATATTTCAAAAGTTTTTCTAAAATAAATATTTATACACCTCTTATATAATAAAGTAGAGTTTTTTTTTCTCTCTATAGAGGCAAAAGATGGCACTTGACATTCTATCATTTGTTGAAAGTGTTTTAAGTCCAATTATAAAAATATTTTATTTTATTTGAATTTTATTGATTTTTACAAATGATATGATTTTTAATAAATATTTTTACTCCAGTAAATTAAACAAAAAGCAAATTTCTCACTTTCAACCTATTTTTCAAGATGGATGACAACTTTCATATCTCTAAATATTTAAATTACATTTTATAATCTAAATTCCATTTCATAGAGTTTTAAGTCATATCCATGGAAATACAATTAATAAAAACGATTTTACAATAAACGTATCTAACAAATGTTCAATGAATGATGTAATAAATGTTATCACATATTTACTAGGATTTTTAACATAAAAACCCCTCAACTAAGTTTGTTTTGGGTAAAAACCCCTAAACTAAGTATTTAATGGAAAAAACCCCAAACTAACTTTATTTAATGAATTAAACCCCCGTCGGTCATAATTACCAGTACTACCGATAAATCTTTAGTTTAGGAGTTTTATCATTAAACATAAAAAATCATAAAAAGAAAAAAAATGAAAAATATAATAACAATATCTAAAAATTCGTAAATTTAATGTTCAAAATTAACATTTTAAAAATTTATGTAAATATATGAGTGATTTCTTATCCTTTTAAAATGGATTTTTAACTCTAAAATACCTTAACGAAGTTTGTTTTGGGTAAAAACCTCAAACTAACAAGTAAACCTCCATATTAAACATAGTTGAAGGGTTTTTATCATTAAAAATCTAAAAAAATTATAACATTATCTAAAAATTAGTAACTTAAATTTTTCAAATTAGAATTTTTCAAACTTTCTGTAAATATATGAGTTTGATTTGTTTTAACATCAACATTATATATATATATATATTAAAATTTTAAAACACGAAAAATATAATAAAAATCCTATAAAGATTTATTATTACATTTTTATTAAATAAGATATAATTTTTATTCTGTTTTCTTGTTTTTATATTTATAACTTTTGATAATTTTTACTACAGGTAAATATTTAGATAATTTTTGTTATATTTTCTTGGTTTTTACATTTTTAATTTCTACATATATAAATTTGATTTTAAAAGGATAATAAATCAGACTCATATAGTTACAAATTTTTTTTTAAAATGCTAGTTTTGAAAATTAAAATTACGAATTTTTAGATAATGTTATTATATTTTGAATTTTATTGATTTTTATGTTTAATGATAAAACCTCTAAACTAAAGATTTACCGGTAGTACTGGTAATTATGACCGGCGAGGGTTTAATTCACTAATAAAATTAGTTTGGGGGATTTTTCATTAAATATTTAGTTTAGGGGTTTTTACCCAAAACAAACTTAGTTGAGGGGGTTTTATGTTAAAAATCCTATTTACTATAATTATTCAAGAATCAAAATTGTATTAATTATCAAAATGTCATGCAAGCATCTGCAGTGTGTGTAAACTTACAAATATTTCAGTATATAATTTTGTTTAAAACTGTGAACTATTATAGACTTAGTTTAGTAGCATTATTTTAGTTATGAATGATTATATTACAAAATTTAGTATACACTACTTTAATATACGATTGTTGGCAAATCAAAATATACAATTATTATTTTTTATAAAATTTTTAAAATTTTAAACAAAACTAATAAACATAAAGTTATATAAATTTGAATTATCAGGTATGATATTTTATATTTTTTTGTTCAGTAAATTGGAGAAAAAATATTACCGCTTCAACATCAAAAACAAATTTTTATTAGAAAAAATACTATAATAGACATTGTTAGAAGTTTGAAGAATAAAACAATTACCTATACAAAGACATCATTAAACACATCAATTTGTCAAAAAGTAGTTCATCAAATAATAACTAAGCTATCCCATTTAGACATTTTACAGTTTTTGATAAAATATCATGTAAATTTATTTAAAATCTTAGCATAGTTAAAACAGAAAACATGTACTATCTATTTTCAATATTAGTTCATTTACAATTTAATAATTTAAACTTCATTTCTAAATTACATTTTAAAAATCGGTATATAGGCAATATATATTCAAAATTAATATAATAAATTAAATTAAACTAAAATTTATATAAGTAAACTCGGGCGTAGCCCGGAAAACCACTAGTACATTCTATAAATGGGTTAGAGATAACATGGTGTAATACTATATCATAAGAAAACATAGGTTCAATGACATTGAATTGTAAATACTTTAATAAATTATGTTTAATTTTATTAATGGGTTGAGAGTGCTTGTTAGTCTACTACATAAGTAATGGAAATTTTAGTCTGAACGTCTTAATAATCATGTCTATTTGTAATTGAACGTCTATTTTGGGAAGAAATTTTTTATGTCTATACTCCTAAATTGATCGTTTAATTTGCATTAATTTATAATCCCTTAATTGATAATATTTATGTCTAGAATCTTTAATTATTTATGTCTCTGAATTTAATAAGCAAAAGCTAATCAAGACATGAATCAAAATCGTATTATTGTCATATCAAAATTGTTTGCAAAAAGTATTGTGCTATTTTAAATTCGGAAATAAAAAAATTCGACTTCCCATAATAAAAATATATTCAATATAATGGCAAAAAGTTAAGGGATGCATCACTTTATAAAAATCAAATCAGATATTTTGATTCACATGCAAAAATAAAATAAAATAATAATAATAACATTATTAGTCTATTAACATTTATTGAAATTTTTTAATTTCAAGATCCTGGTGCTTAAGTTATGGGATGCCACAATTTATTATGGATTTAATTTTGAATCGTAAGTTAAGGGATGCATCAATTTATTATAGATTTTCCTTTTGAATCTTAATTTCTCTTTATTTACCATTTATAGTGACGATAGTCATTATCATAATGACATGATTAATGTAATTATAGGAAACAATAACCGTCTTTATGCATGGTCAAAAATATTTAATTGCATATTAAGTTTAGTCAGAAAGAGAGTGAGACGTACTATATATGTCACAAACTTCATTGAACAAAATTATAACATATGGATTGATATACACATTTTTGAGAAGTGATCATTAAAATACATAACATACTCTATATGTTTTTATATGTCCACATATATAATGTGATCATAAAAATAACATATAGTTTGATATACATTTTTTAAATGCCACTAACATTTTTACTCGAATAAAATAATACATATGTACTATATATGTCACTAACGTTGTTTATTGGAGTTTATAAATTCACGAGTTTGTATATGTACTATATCAATCTAAAATGAATGAAATAATGTAGAAATACTAGTCAAATATTAATCTAAAATGAATGAAATAAGGTAAGAAGACTAATCAAACATTAATCTAAAATAAATGAAATAAGATAAGAAGGCTAATTAAATCTTCGAAATTACACTATCCATAGCATTTTGAATATGCATATAAAATGAAACATATATACACCATAATCATTTTGTAGGTTTCATTCACAATGATATAACTTGTAATTAGTCTAAGCAAAAGAAAATTATTCAATAAATAATGTGATGTGCATTATGGTGTTAATACTTAGAAAATGACAAAATTGTTAATCATATATAAAGATAATATTTATTATTAAAAGTACTTCTCAAATAATGAAAAAATGGATTTTTGTCAACCTTGTGTTTCGTATGTGTGTTTTTCTTTCATGTGTTTAGGAGTATTTATTATGTTAATCGTCAGCGTGTATGTTAAGGAATACTATTTGTTTGAAATTATGCTAAGCTATGCGGCTGATCTGCACCTAGCATTGAATCTATTCGATTGATTTGTCGATTTTAGCCTCAGAGTCAACAATATGATTTTATGTTTCTTTTTTTTTAACAAGATGATTTTATGTTTTTAATCTTCACAACCTTTTTGTTAGTACAGTTGATAATGTACATTTTATAAAAGATGAAGCATTGTTTTTGCACTGCTATTATAGATTTTTGGATATAAATTGAGCATATTACTTTGTTTTGGGTAAGCTATGGCTGTGTTTTCGCAAATGGTGATGGTGATTGGGAATGTCACTTTACTTTGGATTAAGTACACATCCTTATTGGGTTAGTTGGGCTAATGGGCATACCAAAAAATATAATTTTTTTATTAATGATTGTAAACACCTGAAACGACGACGTATGAGAAAAAGAAACGAACCTTAAATCGCAAACCAGTTTCCTCCTTCCCTCCAAAGTTCTTCTCATCCGAAACTCTCCGTTTCAGCTCGTTTCTCTCCCGGCGGGCGGTGTGAGCTCTCTCTGTCTACCTGCTCTTTCCCGCCCCTTGTTTAGGTACAGAACTCTATGTTCCGTGTCTCTCTACTCATTTTCTCTGTTCTATCTCTACTACACTGTCTTATCATATCTCCTCTGCTTTGTATTATATGGCTACATCTTCTTCTAACTTTGAAAGTAAATTCTTTAGGGAACTTAAGTGAACGTTTCACATAGTATTTGGCGTCGAGAAAGGAGCTCAAATAAGTCATCCTAACATACATTAATCAGATCATAGATACAAAAACTGAAGTTAATATAACACAGGATTAAGATAAAACGTTTAATGTTGAATTTCGTATTTGTCTCAAAGAAAGCGAAGTCAAATAATGGAACCTAGCTAGTGCCAGTTGCACAAGTACTGTTAAAATCTTTGGAGATTTTGCATACATCCGTAACTTGGATTGAAAAGAGAAAGAGTCGTGCAATTACAAAACTCAATTTCAATTTGAATAATTTTGTCTTTAGTATTTTATTGCATTGTAGGCCATACTATTAGATTGTGAGTAAAGGTAATCGCTCGTATCATGATGATAGAGAGTAGAGACTTCTATCATGATGATAGAGAGTAGAGACTTCTATGATTATCTAAAACCGTAGCTGGAAAAGTTTGTTTATTCCTAAGTTGTTTTTTTTGGCTAAAAAGTTAATTTATTTATATTCTTCGAACAAGTGAAGATCAATTCTTCCATTAACGTGAACAAAGAAATAATAACAGGCTAGATAAAAGTGAAATAATTAGAACATATACGGGCACATGGTTCATTTTGTTATTTGTATCGCATTTCATTTATCAGAGTAAATTTGGCTATTTGGTTACTTATTATTATACAATTCATGAATGACAACATTATTTGAATATAACAACTATATATGCGGTCAACCTAAAATATAAAAAAGTTTTTGTGATACTACGTATATTTTACGATTATCACATCACATATTAAAACTTAACTGGAGTTGCCTGATCACACCATAAAATGGAAGTTGTCGGTTTCTCAAAGTGAAGTAACTATCTAATATATCGCATTCAGTATTCATTTTTGATATTACATATTCACATTTTTGTATATTGTGTCTTGCAATTATTATTATTTATTTAAATGTAGAGGAAACACATTTTCATTGCGTTGATAGAAGTCGTGATTTAAGAAGACAGACTCTAATTACTAGTAATATTAATCTTAGATATATGGCACGCAGCATGCTAAGAAAACATATCTAAGTATGGATTTAGTAGAAAACGAATTACATAACAATTATTTTTACCACATACCATTGTAATATATGACATTTCAAAATTAGCTGTAATGTATATTTTCAGTTCAAACAGTAACATACGAATATACAAGATATATAATAAGAAACACACATGCCTAAAAATAGATACCAGAAAAGTACGTAGCATGCATTTTTCTTTTTTTTTGGGTAAAACGTAGCATGCATTTTATAGGAAACAAACGACACTAAGCAGTAAAGCACTATCAGTACCGGCCCTGAGGGGAAGCATTACAAGCAACCGCTTCCGGCCCTCAAAAAATATTTGAAAAATTCAGCCTTTTTTATAAGAAAATTATTATTATAGTATATAAACGTTCTTATAAAAATGACCAATTTTTAGATAATTGCTTCTGGTCTTTCCAATGTCAGGACCGGTACTGGCACTATACTAAGAGAAAAAAAAGGTTCAATGAAACATACATGCGTAGAAATATATGCCAAAAAAGGTACATAGAATAACAAAAGACACTGTTACACTAAGCACTGATTTGTGATGATTTACACAGTTATGTGTACAGTATTAGAATTTAATTAACTTCATACTTACTGAAAGTCTGAAACAAAAACGAAGAAACAAATTGTATATATTGAGTGTAGCATTTAGATACGTTTGTGTCACTTTCCGGTAAAACATAGTGTAGATAAACAATACATGCGGAAAAATACATCACAAAATTCACACACTAAACTTTAAACCATAACAATGTATATAATATTAAACGTAAGAGATATTGATTTTTTTGGAACAACAAACATATTATATTGATTTAAAGAGTTAAATAACCAATTATTTCAAAACAGAAATATTGATTTACGATGAGAAATTGCGTGAAATATAATAAAATTGGATACCATTTTTAAAAAATATGCACTCAATCACAAATAAATTGTTTGTCTTCTTTGTATTGTTTAACGGTATCATGGGATTAGACTTCACACCTTATTCACATTTTCAGTTTTTATTTTTTCAGTTTTGTCTTCCTCTGTATAGGAAACTTCCCATGTCGATCCAAAGTGAGAAAGGGACAAAGTATGTATTTCATTTTTACAAAAATGGACAAAAGTTTGCATCAGGCGTATCCACCTAAAGATTGTTAATGCTAAATTCACGCGTCCAAAAACTTTTTTTTTCTTTTTTTCTTTTTCTTTTTCTCTAAGCTTCATGTACTATATGTGTTTGGGTTTGGATGGGATAGGGTGACTGGATGAACTTTATAAGCTGTAAGATTTTTTTAACTTCCATAAGTCTTTAAGTTAGATTTCAGTTAAACTTTTATATTTAACAGTCCCTAAAAATCAAACAGTTTTCTAAGTCCATTTTTCCTACTCTTGTAATGTTTATGGAATATCATGGTGGATGAATTTATTTTGAGATAAAATCAAGAACTTAACCTTGTAACTAAAATTTTGGAACTGATGATGAAAATACCAAAGTAACTAATTGGAATTGATGATAAAAATACCGAAGTAATTTTGATTGTGGTCCACTCTTCACACAAACAAATCTATTACGTAACGTATGTCGTGCTATATAACGATCTGTTTTCAAAATCTTAGTTGTTTTTCTTTTAAACACAAACTTATATTAATGCATAGAGGGGTTAGGTAGTAGCTCAAAATCTTAGTTGTTATTTCCAAATTTTTCACGTGAAAACTTATGACACAAGTACGTAAGAATAGTTAGTATTGATCAATCATATAAACATTTCTTTTACCACAGACATTATAAAAAGCGAGATAACAACATGACTTGCAAACATTTGCCGCCGAAATTTAGTAAATATATAAAATCAATGAAGAAGAGTGGTCCCCAAAAGACCCTTTACTCTGTTTCTCCATGCCTCTCTGAATACGAAACACTACTGCTTATATAATCTATTTCACGTCTTTAATTGTTCTTCACACAAACAAGAAAAAAACACTCTCACAAAGATAAGAAACCCGAAGCTTCCACTCTTCAAATGGCATCTTTCTCTTATTTCCAACACTACCCTCATTCTCTTCTTGATCCTCTTCTCTTCTCCACACCCATCGACCAGAACCCTCTCTATCCACCACAAAACACTTCTACAACCGTAGATAACTACTTGAACCCATTTCCTGATTCATATAATGTTGAGAAAACCGAAAGCTCTGAAGTTAAGGAACAGATCAACACTAATGCAACCACAGCAATCACAGGCGACCAGCTCAGCCACGGACAATCCACTACGTCCGCAGGAAAAAAAGATCGGAGGAAGACCAGAAATGGGTCTAAACCCAAGGTAAATTTAGTCAACCTGTAATGTGCTTTCATGTGTTAGGAACGGGGTTGTGACAGACAGAAACGTAAATGTTGGGGTTGTTTACAAATCAGGAAGGAGTAGGGGAAAAAAACAGCAAAAAACCAAGAAATGGTAGCTCAAGAGACGTCAAAGAGAAGAGAGGGAGCGAACAAGAATCTCCCAAAGATTACATTCACGTTAGAGCTAGAAGAGGCCAAGCTACTGATAGCCACAGCCTGGCCGAGAGGGTATATTAGTCTTTCTGACTTTAACTTGCTATTTATTTCATTAAGGTCTTTAAATATAAAATTAGTTAATTGATTTTTTGGATGTGTAAATAATTAAATATAGGCGAGAAGGGAAAAGATAAGTGAACGGATGAGGACTCTCCAAAACCTTGTCCCAGGATGTGATAAGGTTTGCTAAAGACTATTTTAATTATGAAATGATAATGTTTTAAAATCCATTTTTATTTCTAGAAAGATTTTTATATTCCAAATGTGACATAAAACCGAATAGGTAACAGGGAAGGCCCTTATGTTGGATGAGATTATAAACTATGTTCAGTCCTTGCAGAATCAAGTTGAGGTGCATTTTTCTATATATCTTATTCTTATGACATTTTATTTAAGCTTAAAATAGTAGTTACATAAATATTAATTATAATTATTTTATTTTCTCATTAGTTTCTCTCGATGAAGCTAGCTTCCATGAGTCCAATGGTCTATGACTTCGGTTCGGACCTTGATGGCATCATAGTTAGACCTGAGGTACTCCATACACATATACCATCTCTTACTTAATCCCGGTTAACAATAATCCGGTTTCGGTAATACCAAAAATCGCAATTAAGCATCGTGTTGATGAACAGATTGGATCTGCAAACGTTGGAACGTCTTTTGCTAATGCAATGCCAACAACTACTACTAACTTTTCTTCACTGTTGGATAATTCTATAATACCCGCACAGGCACCTCTTCAGGTATTTATTTCCTTTTTATGAATTAAATATTGTAGTATATTTTTTAGTTGTCAAAAGAAAATAGTTTAGATATTATAGTAATTAAGAACAATCAAGAATAGATAACGATCAATTAAATATTAATATATAGATGAATTATGTGTTTCTTAATTTAGGAAGATGGAGGTGAAAGGGAGAAGTTTGTAGACAGAAGTGGGTTCAACAACAACAGCTTTTGTTCCTTCTCTTAATTAATCACTTGTCGATACAGACACAAAAGCCTGCTTACGTGAGTTTCTTCTGATCTTGTCTCTACAACTAACCTAATTATTGTTACAATTATTATTGTTACTATTATTTTAACATTTCTCATTTAATTGTCAAAAAGCTGGTTTTGGTTTCGTAATTATTGCTATTTTTATTGGATGTAGGTTGATTTCATATCCTCAGATATGCAGGGAGGGGATAAAATCTACGGAAACCAGTGCTGGTTTAATTATTCCTTTTCGAGGGTTTAAAGAAAATAAATAAAAACCACATTTTCATAGATTTTTAACATCATTATCTGCATGCATGCTCATACCATACATTCATCGCCATAATCATCAACAGCGTCATTATCATCATCATCAGATGATAGAGATGGTCATCTGAGTAAAGGGCAGAGGCAATTCGGTGGAGGAAATAGAGACATATAAAACAAGACCGCTCAGCTTTATTAGAGTGTTTTAATATATGATTTAAATTTGAATACTTTGGATTATTCACTTATTAAGTATATCCCTTGATTAGTTCTTGTAATTTAACTGATTTGTGTAAGATTTCTTGCACAAATGTGTTATGTATTTATCCATTCATTTTTATGTAAACTGGTATCCAGACACTCATGTTATATTTCTTAAACATAAATATAAATATGCGGGTGAAAGGACCCTTACATATAAATAATAAGATTCGTTTTCTGTCAATTCATTTGTTAGTATTATATAATGTCAGAAAATATTAGATTTCCCTTCCTGGAGCGCTTTAATGCACAGTTGAATAGTTCGGTCATAGTTTTCTGCTCTCACTTGTCACGCATTGATAACTCCCATTCCTCTGTCTTTTCAGATTACATGCATCGATCATACATATGCCTATGTATATGTTACACATATCCTAAGCTCTTTTTAGATTAACGAATGTAAATCTCACAATGACACTATATATACAGCCCTCTGTTTTTAAAAATTGTCACTATAGATAAGATATATATTCAACATATGTATATAATTCAAAATTTAAATAGATAATAGCAAAATACTGATTAGTGCAAACTTAGGATATTTTCTTCGGCAAGGAGTAACCATACGATACTGATCGATCAACAAATTAAAAGTATAGTAGATATCAAAATTTACAGCTAAATGGCTTTATATATACAGCAGCATAATTAATAGCAGAAGAATCCAAACTAGAAATGATATCAATAAACTAATGAAATTTGGGAAGTCCATTCTCCAAAAAAAGAAAAAAACTAATGAAATTTGTGTGCAATAGAGTTATTGTTATACAGATTGCTCAGAAAGTAACCAGTCGAATAAGTTAGCAGAATTCTCATCTCATTTTGTTTAATTTTTTTTTTGTATATTAGGAAGTGTTTGGGTCTTCGGCCAAATAATCCTCCTAGCATAAGATCAACCGACGTTAATATCATTTCTGCATAAAACATTTCTTCGGATGCGAGTCAAACCTGGGTGACGGTAATTACAGTTGCAATCCCTTTATTACCAAAACTAACTTGTCCGATATCTCTCATCTCATTATTGTGATTAGTTTCTAACAAATACATGTGCAGCCATAATATACGAAACCAGACCAATAACAAATTACTAGGAAAGTTATTAAAAAACAAATTACTAGGATTTACAAATGGGAATTTCTTGTACTAGATCTAACTGCTTTATTTTATTTACAGGTAAAGTATAATGATTGTAGCCGACCGTAAAATAAACCTCTACAAATATGCAGGCATCAATTAGTTATGTTTCAATAGTTGATAAGACTTGGATATTACCAAGTAGTCAGTGTTATGTTGGTCTCTGCCCTTTAGGTATATTCTGTGCTTTCTTGTTGTGCGTTCTTATTATTATACTACTATTTTCCAGTATAATCTTTTTAATAGTACTAAAATAAACTATTTGAATATATAGTCTTTTATTTATTTTTGTTTATCCAATTTGGCCTTTCTTCTCTCTCTCCTCTCCCCCCCTTCCACCAATAAAATGTGTATCTAAGCGGTACTTTCTACTTTAATTTAACATTCAAAGGCCAAAAGGGGCGTATTCTTCATATTGGATTGTTTATTAAACTAACATTAGCATTATTACATTTTAATACATACCAAATACTGTTTTTTTATAATTAAAGTCCAACTAAGTCCTATAATTTTGTTTGTTACTATGACTTATAATATTGTGTTTAAACCGGCGACGGTATATACTAGTGGCAACGTCTTTCTGCGAATGATTGATAGATAACACACAAGTGAAAATAAAGTTGTATTTGAGCCGCATGTCAAAATTTAAACATTGATAAAGCCAAAACAATATAAATTCAAAAGAAACAATTCGAAGGCATGATTAAATGAGCAGTCCATTAGTCTTCAACGATTTTCATGTCTACATATGTCTAGTCCCATCTCTTTTATTACACTATCTTTTTCTTTGTTTGCATGTACCTAACTTCTTTTCCATGTGTACAATAACCTTTTTTGAAACCGTGTACAATAATTTACATCCATAAAAAGCGATCTACAAATTCTGCTTCAAATGGTAAAACAGATCAAACGGTTTCATGCAGATTGAGTAAGACAAATATAGATTAAGTGAGACAAGTGGAAATCATGCAGAAGAAATGTAGATCAAACAATTTATTATAAATTATGTTGACAAAATCAGCTCAAAACTATAGATCATATATTTAAACAATAAGAAAATTATACCAAAATATCAAAATAAATATCTTAGATGTTATAGGATCAATCGAAATGTTTACTGAATTTTCATACGATGCTTGTGTTTTTCTATTTTCGTTTTAGTTGATCAAAATTATCTTTAAAACATCGGCTGATTATTAATATTAAATTATTTGTTAATATTTATATAGAAAGATTTGTATCTTTTTTGTTGAAAAATATTGTATTTTGTCTCTGACTGGATATCGTTCTTATAAACATAAAAAAAATGAATGGTAAAAACAGTGCAGAAAAACTGCAAGTGCAGAAGAACTGTATCTATTCCGTTCCTCCATTCAAACCCTAGGTCGCAAAATAATAGTTTTTTTTTGGCGGAATCTCATAAGCAACAGGATCTTCATAATACTATCATAAATTTTGTTGGCCACGTACAAAGAACAACAATAAAACACAAAGACATGTATGAATTCACTCATCTTTAAAGAGATAGATTGATGAAATTATATTGCCTTCGTCGTTCTAGAAATTACCACTGCCTCATATCTCTCTTCTCGAAGTTTCTCTAACTAGAATTGATTTAGTTTGTCCCCTACATTACTGTTGAGTTGCAAGCCAGTTAATATCTACCGTGAACAGTAGTTGTCTTTAGGGCAACCCATCAGTGTACTTTAGGGGGGAGTTCACAACTTTTTATTTTTTTAATTTATTATTTGATTTTTTTTTTAAAAAAATAAACGGACCAATCGCGGGCCATCAGATGGTTTGGAGCCCACGAAATAGTCATGAATCAGGTTCATTAAAGGACACCTTTGCGAGACAGGTTCAAAATTAAAATGGGGTCTACAATTATTTTAATATTTTATTTTCTGAAAATGTGTGAAATTTGTGGGTGTGAACCCTTAATGGAGATGGTCTTACATAGCCGGTCATGAGCATAGCATGATGAAATATTTGCTTTGCTCTCTATGTTTTAAATAATTGATATATATACTTCCTTAAGCCTTTAAACTTGAAAAACAATTTATTAATATTTACCTTAAAATATATATAGTCCCTATAGTAAAATAGAATGTCATTTTATATAAAATTCACCAGGCTCAAATTTGTTGATGTAATGTATGGAAAAGTGTCTACTGTTTAATCTCTTTACTAGTATAATTGGACCATCCGCGGCTGAATATGGACTTAACTTAATGGTTATGACGATAGAGTGTTTGACTAGACAAAAAGAAACAAAAAGAATGTGATGACCAACTAATATTACAAATTATTCTTTTTTATCTATATGTATAGTCGCCTTGATTTCCAATAAGAAATTTAGTTAAGAGAAGCAAGATTAACGTGTTTCTTTGAAGCTTAATTAGTTGTACATTCAAAGAAAGGTAACGATGGTTGCTTTACAATAAGGAGCATGTTGTAAAAGTGATTATGCGCTATATATAGCTTTTCTAAGGAGCAGTCCAGATCCGATTTGCTAATAGATTTATTAAGCAAAACCAGTCAGAAAATTACATTCGATTGATAAGTTCCATTACAAAGATATAGCAATAACTGGACTTTTCTGATTCTCTCATGATTTAAAATCATGAAGCATGGATCAATTACTCATTAATTTCAACAAAATTATATGAATTGACAATCCACGATCTCTAATATGGCGTTGGATCAAAGGTAAACGATATGTCTAGCAATGGATACAAACAACGATCGATGTGATTTTGAATTATAAAATTATGAAATAAGTCTAAGAAATGGTTGACGCAGATAAATTCAAAGGTGGAAGGTATATGCAAAAAAAAATCACTTCTTAGGAATGCTAGCTTTGCATATTATTTTTGCATGTAAGTCCCGATGATATTGTTTTAAGAATATCTAAAGGTAATATTAATGGGTTATACACATTTGTTATTCGATACAGTTTATATTAGGTATTTGAAACATTTCGGTTATTAATTAGCGTAAAACTAAAGTTTGCTATAAAAGAGTGCGGTCTTTTAGTGTTGATATGATTTAAAAATCTTTACCACAACAGTTCTTTAAATAGAACACAACTGCATTATTTAAATTCATTAATATTGTATAGAATCTAAATGGAGCATAATCCACTTCGGATTCCTTCATCGTATAAATAAACAGCAACACCATATAAATGATTTTGTTCGAGTGTTGGACATAAGGGTTCTTAAGTACATTTTCTGTGTAATTAATTTACAAAGTATTAACGACATAAATGTAAGAAAGCTGAAACTGTCACACATTTTAATACTAAATTTTGATAATAAATATTTTATTTGTTATTAATTCTTTTTCACAACTTTTTGCTAGTAAAAATTTAGTAAATACAGTTAATTTTGAATATTATATATTAAAATACATTGAAAATGTTATAAAAAAATATAAAATATGAATTGTTTTGAAACGGAGAAACAACTTTAGTTAAGAACATAAAACTAGTTTTTTGTGCATTATCATCAATGTTTTTTTCTTAAAACATAAATAAAGTTATTTTCATTTATTATACTATAAATTACTTAAATGTAAGTTTCCTAAATACTAATTTAGTCCTTATGAATGGTTAAAAAGAGATGTTACTACTAATAAGTGAAAATGGTTTAATACAACAATTAAAAAAAATTAAAAAAATCCAATAAATGACTACTCCAGTAAATTGGAGTAAACATTAAACTAAAATGAATCGAAACTTGTATTTATTATTTAAACTTGTATTTATTATTCCTAAGTACTCCCTCTGTTTCTAAATAAATGTCACTTTAGCCTTTTAATTTTGTTTCAAAAAAAGTGTCATTCTACAATCCCAATGTAATTTTGTACATTAAATCTATTTTTTACCCTTTTGAATAACCAATAGTATTTTACTTAAATTATTTTCATTTAATTAAACATACATTAAATAGGGATATATTAGTCTATTATACAATTTTCTTAATTTATGTGCAAAGAGTCAAAATGACACTTATTTAAAAACAGAGGGAGTATGTATAAAA